CTTTATTTTTTTTCCCTTTTATCCGCTCTGTTTTGGCTATTGTCTCTCCTCCTTTTATGGGTGTGTTTAATAATACAATTAGGGGTAAGCAAACGGTTAAACGGTTCGGTTTTGTACGATTCGGTTCGGTTTTCGGTTAACCGAATCAAGAAAAATAAAAACCAAAACTGAACCAAAATAAATTCGGAAAATTCGGTTTGTAACCAAATTATTTCGGTTCGGTTTTAACCGAAATGTTTTATTGAAAAAAAAAATTCTAGACCATTGTTTCATTATCCGTCCTAAGCCACCATCATTTTCACCATTTACTAAAAAAAAAAAAAAAAAAAAAAAAAGACAAAAAGAAAACAAAGCCCTTACATAGGAAATATCTTTTGCAGCTACCTAATCACGAGTTGACACGTCGAATGTCCTAAATGAGAGAAGAAAAAAAAATGTAGTTGTCTTCCTTCTTTTGCTTATTCCGAACTCATCAAGCACTAACAACATCCTAATTCTTGATTTGACCTCTATGATCTCCTTGCTTATGTTGCTAAAAAGCCATTGGGAATGAACAAGCAGGAAACAAAATTTTAGACCGAATTAGTCACCGTTAAAGATTATAATTTTTCAACATCAATCACTATCATAACAAGATATATAAAGTAACGTAAAGGTTACCAATATGTATAACATCCCTAATAATTTTACAATCATCATTCTCACTAAAAAATGTAGTCCAAAAGATTTTCATTAGCAATTTTGTGCCGTAGAAAAGAAATTAAAACACCTTTCTTTCGGTTTGTAAAATTCAAGCTCACAGAGACCTAAAACCATCTTGCAATAGTAAGTTAATTTCATTTGATTGTCTTGCAAAGAAACAACTAAACTTGTAAAAGACAATTGATTGCGGTTAGTCATCAAACTTTATTTAATTTTTTCAATTGATAGTTGACCAAATTAAGAATCTTAGAATTCATGAATGCCTCCTCCGACTCGATGAAGTGATGATGAAGGAGAATCGGAGAAGATGGAGTGAAGGATAGGGAGCTAGGGAGGCGCCGCTAAAAATTGATTTTGATTTAGTGAAGTTAGCCAATTAGGGTAAAAAAAAAAATAATAATAAATAAAATTTTTTTTCTTTTAATTTTTTCGGTTTTCGGTGAAAACCGATTTTTTTTTCAAAAACCAAACGGAACCGAAATAATTTCGGTTTTTCGGTTCGATTTTTAATTTTATAAATTTAAGTTTAAAACCGAACCAAAATACATAATTCGATTCGGTTTGATTCGGTTTTCGGTTAACCGAATCATTTGCTCACCCGTAAATACAATGCATGCATTTTTATAAAAATATATCTTGATGAAAAAAAATTAAATTGATATTTTTCAGATTTTTGTTGATATTTTCAATATTACTATATCAAAAATCATTAGAAACATCAAACTTTTAATTCAAACACATTTGGAAAAGTAATTTGAAACTTATAATCAAACACACTCTCAATCCTCTTTCGCCACTGTACCCAATCATCCTGCACTTTTTTTCTTGTAATCAGAATAACGATTACCATGATTAAAAATTTAGATTTCGTTGTCAATAAAAACACTAAAACAACGATTTAATCCTATAGTTTGTTTCTGTGTTTGTATTCAGCTATATTTGACTATGTCTTTTTATTTCAGCCAATCTACTTTTATTTTATTCAAACTGAGTCAATTAAGGTCAATTGCTAAAATTTATCTTAATACGAGGATAGTTTTTAATAGAGCGTATTAAGTGCGTTCAGTTAGAAGAGAGACAAAATGTAAAAATAAATAAATAAAGACAGAATGGACAAAGTGAGAAAGAAAAAAAAAAAAGAAGAATATTAGATGGGAAAATGTTAACTGGTGTTTTATTGTTACAAATATCAGGGGTTAGAAAGAGAGAGAGAATTAAAAAGAGATTTAAAACTTATGTAGAGAAGACATAAAAAATCAATTGAAATTTTAGGGTTCTTCCATATTTTTAATTTTTTTACTTTGTTCATCATTCTGTATTTCTGTTTCGAGAAAAGCTAACGCATGTACTTAACACATCCGTTAAACATTATTTGAGTGTATTTATGAAACTTCCTTTATTGTTGATCTGTATTTAAAAATAAAAATAAAAATTCAAATGAAAATAAATGATATTTATTAAAGACATTAAATAAGTGATATTTTATACACAACCTTCCTTATCTCTCCTCGTAATTCAATATTTTGAATTATTTCCATAACTAAGCAAACACTACACGTTCTTTACGATTTTTTTTATTTATGGTTCCTAATTTGTAGAAAAAATAAGCAAATTCCTTATCTCTAATGATCTCTTATTGATTCACTTCAATTCTCCATACAGGGGACGTAAGTTTATTGGTGGCGAGCTATCTTTATGGATTCACGAATGAGACGCGGTTGTTGGGTTTTGATCTTAACGTGATGAATTAAGCTATCGAGGACCAATAAGGAGGCAGCCTTTTCTGATGAAACTGGGTTATTGCCTCAAAGGTCAATTGGAATGGAATTTACGTTTTGAATCCATAAAAAATAATTTGTATTGCAAAAAAGAAAATACCAGAGAGCGGAGACAAGTGGAAAGTGAACTGTCAAAATGGTTTCCGGTTTCAAGCGTTAATAATGCCACGTGTTCAAATAATATGATAAGACGTTAAAGAGAAAGTAAGAGCTATTGCATGTAGCTCTTATCTGAAAAAGGGCTCAATCCGGCAGTCTCATCACAATTTCTGAGCCGTCCAAACCCAGCTGCCATGTATAGACCTAATTCAATCTTTTATTTTAATTATTAAAAAAATATCATGTATATATTCATTAAAAAATATATTTTCTAGATTTATATTCAATGTATGCTCGATTTATCCGTCCATCTTAAACCCACTAAAAGTAATTTGGCAAAAAATATCATTTTAATTCTTATAATTTTAAAAAAAATTACTGTGGCTTTAAATTAATATTTTATTACATTTGGTTTTTTATTTATAATTTTTTTTATTCCAAAGTCTTCAGAAAAAAATATTGTTTTCTACTTTATAAAGTTTATGTAGTCAAGTTCCTATATGTTTAATTTTTTTTTCCACATAAACATTTATTGATATATTACCATCCCTGTCTAAACTTCTCTTCTTTTTTTTTTTTTCTCAAATTATACTAATCAATTAATGAGTAATTTCATTGATCCGGTCTTTCTTAAATTATCATTGATGCAACATTCACTCTCCGAATTCCTTCTTGCATGAAAAGAAAGACGGAAAAAAGAAAAGAAGAACAAATTAAGGACTTGAGATTGGAATTTATGGTTAGAACTATTCAAATCTAAATTTTTTAATTAGTTGACTGTAATTTTTTTTCAACCGCAGAAGGGAAATCCCTTGTCACGGCCAAGCTATATAACTCTACATATTAGCTATTAATTTATTACTACGAATCCCGTTAAATATCTAGTTAACATGGTCAAAGGTAATTTTTTTAGTTGACTGTATTATAATACGATTTTCATGTCCTATGCTGCAAAATATTAGCTATCAATGTTAATTTTCTAAATATCTAACCATTAATTATAGATATATAGAAGGATGATATTTACGAAAAAAAATCCATGTTGTAAATATACGGGGAGTATACATTTTTTTCTATTACAAATATTTTCCAATTTATTTTAGGGATTTTGTGTAGTTACGATTAGTATCCAATATCGTTATAAAACAAGAACTTCCAATACTATGTCTTCGAGATAACTCTAGATTTTTTTTTTTTTGGGAAAAAGGAACTATTAATTCAACTTGCTGTGAAAAAAATGTATTTCTTATAATAGATGATTTTGTGTAGTTACGATTTGCATCCAATATCGTTATAAAAAAAGAAGTTCCAATAGTATATCTTCGAGTTAACTCTCGATTTTTTCTTTAAAAGGAAATATTAATTCAACTTATAATAAAAAAAAATAGGGATAATTACTAGAAAAACTTTATAAAAAAACTTCTATCTAAAAATCCACAAATTTATTTTTAAATCTCTCAAATCCAAAATAATCTTTTTCTTACAAAAAAACACCTAATAATTAATACTAGTGTTAACTATTGGTTGTTTTAGTAAGAAAAATATTATTTTGGTTTTGAGAGATTTAAAAATAAAATTTTGGGTTTATTATTTAGTATAATAAAAAAAAAGTAGTCAAATGTTAGTGTTTAAAAGTCAAGGAACCTAAAAAAAAAAAAAAATTTCTTTCGAATGCAATAACAACGAACTTGACTTGATCATGAAAAAAATAAATAAATATCAAACTCATTAAAAACTACGAGATGAGTTTATTATTAGATAAAAACTATATAAAAAAAAGCTCTAAAAAATTCGTATCTAAAAAATTCATCAATTTATTTTTTAAATCTCTCAAACCTTATATATATATATATATATATATATATATTACAAAAAGACTCAATAGTTAACTAGTGTTAAGTTGGAAGTTCTCAATCATTATTTTGGGTTTGAGAGATTTAAAAATAAATTGATGGGTTTTTTAGATAGAAGATTATTTTAGAGGATTTTTCTTATAATTATCCCAAAAATATATTTCTTATAATAGTTGATTTTGAGAATCCGGAGAATCAACTAATAAGTATCATTTTCGCTCTGCATTGCCAAAATAAAAAATAAAATATGATAGAGGTAACTTTTTCCTATTATATACACCTCATCCACAAGCAAATATTTACGTTCTCAATCATTAATTAGGAAACAAATCAAACAAGATCCAATACTCATCAATTTCTTGGAATCCAAAAATAGAAACTGAATTAGATTAGGCACCATTGAAAATCAAAGCCCTATCCAATGCCATGCCATTTATTGCTTAAAGATATTTGGCCAACGATATCCAAATACCCTTGGTTTTGCAGTACTGTTGTTATAAAGGGATTTGCCATTACACATATAAACCAGTTTTTCTTCTTATTGGAAGAAAAAAGGAAAAAGAAAACAATGAAGTTTCTTGCTTTGCTCCCCCTTTTCCTTCTAGTCAATTTCTTACATCAACCCATGTCGGTGGTAGGAGCTGATCTTATAGAAGAAACTTGCAAGAAAACCAAGTATCCTGTCCTTTGCGTGAAAACCCTAGAGTCAAATCCAAAAGGCTCTGCTGCTGATGCCAAAGGCCTCGTTCATATCATTCTAGAAGCTAACTTGGCAAATGCTAAAGGTACTTCGGCCAAAGTAAGCAAAATGTTTAAGGAGGCCGGTAGTAAAGGTTTGAAGGAATGCCTCGATGTGTGTGCAGAGGTATATGACTTTGCTGCCACCGAGGATTTTCCTACTGCGATTCAAAGTTTAGAGAAAAATGATCTTGCTACAGCAAAAATTCATGTAAGCGCTGCTTCTGATGCTCCAGATAACTGTAAAGACGCATTTTCGGAGGATCCAAGTGTCCACACACCACCTGATTTAGCCAGACTGAATGATTATTTTGATCAGCTTTCTATAACAGCTCTTGAAATGTTAAACAATCTTGGCTGATTCAACATTTTGTTGCTAATAATTTTTTTTTCCATTCAATGATAACAGGTAGAAGCTATTCAATGTCCACACACCACCTGATTTAGCCAGACTTAATGAATAATGGATTGATTTGAGCTTTAATGAAAATCAATGAAAAATTCAAAAATAACCATGCCCGTCCTATTTTATCCCCGGTTTCAAATGTCATTCCCTTTTCCTAAGAATGAAATTTTGTATTGATGGATATATTTTGAAATTAATCCTAATGCCAAACTAATATCCTAATGAAAATTTTTATTGATGGTACAATTTTTTTACTTTCGTTTTGATAAAAAAAAAATCACAAAGAAAGGTAGAAGCTAGAATTATTTATAAATTAAAGAGATCAGGAAGAATGGGGAAGAAAACGTCAATTTGTTGAAATTTGTTTGTTTCCTTTTTTATTTATAGTCTAAAAAATAAAAAATAAAAAAACTACTTGATGACATGTAGATTAAATATGGTTTATGTGGAAAAAAGGTACTCTATATTAATAAATAAGATTAAAAAGTGACTCGTTATAGGAAAACTTTTCCTGAAAAAACATTAAAAATAACATCCAATTGGTAATCTCAATGTTATCATCAAATAATTTTTAATATCAATTTTAACCTCAAACTTTAAAAAACTTTCAATTAAGAATTTTCATCCAATTTTAAAGCCTTTCATCCATATTTTCATTCAAATTGTATGATTATTTTTTTTTTAATAAAAAACTATGTCATTAGAACTTGATATTTTTTTAAGTGTATCTAACATAAGTTGTAATTGAGAAATCAAAATAGTATAGTGGTAAATTAATTAAAAGAAATAACTTGGGTGCAAAACTAATAATCCTCCAATAGTTTGATAGTACATTTGATGTTTGCCTACAGATTTAAAACTACCCTACTTTATATATATATATATAAACATATTCCTTTGATCCATCCATTATAAATGGTCGGTAATGCAAGCTTGGGTGCAAAACTAATAATACTTTAATAGTTTGATAGTATATTTGATGTTTGCTTAAAGATTTGAAACTATCCTACTTTTATTTATTTTTTTTAAATTCCTTTGGTCCATCCATTATAGATGGTTGGTAATGCAACCGAATGATATGGAAATGTTCCATAGTCATAGTTAAATGAGTTGGACGGTGGAAGAATAGAGTGAAAAATGAATGGAGGCCAGTTGAGAAACATACAAGGTAGAAATAAAATAAAAGAGATGGCCACAAGTGCACGTACGTAGTAAATGAACTTTTTACAAGGACTTGATCGAATGAACTTTTACTAATACAAGGATGGAATTTCACTTTGCGAATGAACTAGCGGATGCCATGGCCCATGGACCCGTGAAGAATAACGTGATGGTAATGCAGCCCATGAAGTGTGTGTTTACGGCAGGGCTGCCGTCTATCTCCATTCTTATCCTGCCCATAATTGTACGACATGCGGCGCTCTTTATTATTATTTTTTGAATTAATATTTTTATATGTTCTTATAAAATAAATTATTTTTTTAATTTGTGATGAAAAAATTTCTTTTAATATATTCTTATTATTTGAATTGATTTCTCATCTATCATTTTAGTTAAAATTTATCAATTTTTTTAATTAAATTAAATATATAATTTGCATATTGTATGTTATTTGATAAAATTGTTTTTATTATTTAACATAAGCGATTTATATATATTAACTAGAAATTTGATTTATGAAACCTAGTTAGAAATTTTTATAAGAAGAATAGATTAGAAATCAGCTTAAATAATAAAGATAGATTGAAAGTTTTTTGAGAAAAAAATTAAAAATTTGATCTATTTTATTAAAACATATAATGGTATTAACTCTCATTTTCATAACCTTAGAACCGGCCAATGCGAGTAAGTGGCAGTTGGAAAATTAACAAAATACGTGACTCTGTACTAATGACACTTTCTTTCTTTCTTTCTTTATTTTTTTTCCTTTTATCCGCTCTGTTTTGGCTATTGTCTCTCCTCCTTTTATATGGGTGTGTTTAATAATCCAATGCACGTATTTTTCATAAAAATATATTTGGATGGAATCCTCTGCTGTGGCATACATGGCGTAGACAACGGTCACACAATCTTAAAGCACATTCCATTCATGGTGTCACGCAATCTTAAAGCACATTCCATTCAAAATGGTTTCCGGTTTCAAGCGTTGATACTGCCACGTGTTCAAATAATATGATGAAGGCGTTAAAGAGAAAGCAAGGGCTATGGCATCTAGCTCATATCTGAAAAAGGGCTCAATCCGCAATCCCATCACAATTTCTGAGCCATCCAAACCCAGCTGCTATGAATAGACCCAGAGACCACAATTTCCTCGAAGAACTGGATTCTTTAATTCAATCTTTTATTTTAATTATTAAGAAAAATATCATGTATATATTCATTAAAAAAATATTTTTTAGATTTATATTCAATCTATACTTGATTTATCCGTCTATGTTAAACCCACTAAAAGTAATTTGACAAAAAATTTCATTTTAATCTTTGTAATTTTAAAAAAAAATTACAGGAGCTTTAAATTAATATTTTATTGCATTTGATTTTTTATTTATAATTTTTTTATTCCAAAGTCCTCATAAAAAATATTGTTTCCAACTTTATAAAGTTTATGTAGTCAAGTTCCTATATGTTTAATTTTTTTTCCACATAAACATTTATTGTTTACATCCGAAACATTACCATCCCTATATAAACTTTTTTTTTTTCTCAAATTATACTAATCAATTAATCAGTCATTTCATGGATCCGGTCTTTCTTAAATTATAGTTGATACAACATTCAGTCTCCGAATTCCTTCTTGCATGAAAAGAAAGACGGAAAAAAGAACAAATTAAGGACTTGAGATTGGAATTTACGGTTAGAACTATTCAAACCTAAATTTTTTAATTAGTTGACTGTATTTTTTTTTCAACTGCAGAAGGAAAATCCCTATTCACGGCCAAGCCATATAACTCTACATACACACTCAGGCAACTCTCCAGATCTTAATTTATTACTACAAATCCCATTAAATATCTAGTTAACCTGGTCGAAGATAATTTTAGTTGACTGTATTATAATACGATTCTCATGTCCTATTATGCCAAATATTACTTATTAACGTTAATTCTCTTAAGTGTTATTTGATAATCGAAATAAAGTGGTGATAATGAGAATAAAAGTTTGAGAATAAAAGTTTTATTCTCATGTTGTAGTTATTTGATTAGAAGGAATGAAATGAGAATAAGAATAAAGAGTGAGAATGAAAATGAAAATTTATACACAACTTCATTCCTATATAAGATGTGGAAATAAAAACAAGTAATGAGAATGGATTCTTTTTAAAAATAATAATATATTTTATTTATTTATTGTCTATTAACTATTTTTATCACTCGTCAATACCACCGCTACAAATACCACCATCACCATCACCATTAGAACCACCACCGTCATAACCACAACCACCACCATCACCTTTATTATTTTTACAAACATTATAGTTTAATAAAATTATTTTTTTAATCATTATTTTTATTTATATAAAAAATCAGATATAAAAAAATAAAATTGTATTTCGATTCTTCATAAGTATTCCAAACACAGTATGAAAATACAAATATCATTTCGATTCTTTAATTTTTATTCCGATTCCTATATTTTTATACACATCACTCTATTTCTTATTAACAAATATCACCTAAATGTCTAATCACTAATTATAGATATATAAAAAGATGATATTTAAGGGAAAAAAATCCATGTTGTAAATATACGGGGGAGTGTACATTTTTTTTCTATTGCAAAAATTTTTCAATCTTTTATCGGGATTTTGTGTACTTATGATCAGTATCCAATATCGTTATAAAAAAAGAAGTTCTAATATTATACATATCTTCGAGATAACTCTGGATTATTATTATTCTTCTTTAAAAGGAACAATTAATTCAACTTACTGTAAAAAAAAAAGTATTTCTTATAATAGTTGATTTTGCGAATCCAGAAAATCAACTAATAAGTATCATTTTCGCTCTGCATTGCCAAAATAAAAAATAAAATATTATATAGATAACTTTTTCCTATTATATACACCTCATCCGTAATCAAATATTTACGTTCCCAATCATTAATTAGGAAACAAATTAAACAGGATCCAATACTCATCAATTTCTTGGAATCCAAAAATAGAAACTGAATTAGATTAGGCACGATTGAAAAATCAAAGCCCTATCCAATGCCATATGCCATTTATTGCTTAAAGATCTTTGGGCAACGATATTCAAATACCCTTGGTTTTGCAGTACTGTTGTTATAAAGGGGTTTGCCATTGCACATATAAACCAGTTTTTCTTGTTGTTGGAAGAAAAAAGAAAAAAAAAAAACAATGAAGTTTCTTGCTTTGCTTCCCCTTCTCCTTCTAGTCAATTTCTTGCATCAACCCTACACGGTGGTAGGAGCTGATCTTATAGAAGAAACTTGCAAGAAAACCAAGTATCCTGCTCTTTGCGTGAAAACCCTAAAGTCAAATCCAAAAAGCTCTGCTGCTGATGCCAAAGGCCTCGTTCATATCATTCTAGAAGCTAACTTGGCAAATGCTAAAGGTACTTCGGCCAAAGTAAGCAAAATGTTTAAGGAGGCTGGTAGTAAAGATTTTAAGGAATGCCTCGATGTGTGTGCAGAGGTATATGACTCTGCTGCCACCGAGGATTTTCCTACTGCGATTCAAAGTTTAGAGAAAAATGATCTTGCTACAGCAAAAATTCATGTAAGCGCTGCTTCTGATGCTCCAGATAACTGTAAGGACGCATTTTCGGAGGATCCAAGTGTCCACACACCACCTGATTTAGCCAGACTGAATGATTATTTTGATCAGCTTTCTATAATAGCTCTCGCAATGTTAAACAATCTTGGTTGATTCAACATTTTGTTGCTATAGTTTTTTTTCCATTCAATGATAACAGGCCAAGAATTCCAATAATTTCACCTTTTATTTTTATTTTTTGGGTCAATATTGCACTGGTTCATATGGATTCAAATGGCGACATAATTGATCAGATTTTGCAATGTTATCATATGATTACACACAATTGCTTTCTTGCTCCGGGTTTTTGGTTCATATCCCTTTCCGAAAAAGAAATGGCCTTTCAATTTCTCACTCATCACTATTGGATTGGAAAACGAGGACTTTTTTTTCCTAGAACGAGAGTACGTGTTATGTGATATATATGTGACATTTTTCTTGTTTGGATGGTGCTAAGTAATTCAGCTCTTTTCATTGATTTGTAGATACATCCATAACCATATTTATCTCGATTTAGGAAACGAGATCTGGGTGCTTGGGTCCTATTCTCAATCTTTCACGAAACTTAGAAAAGAAAGACTCACAACAACAAATAAATAATAATAATAATAATAATACGATTTGAGATTGAAATCTAATTTTTTTTTATTCATTTTTTAAGGAGTAATTATTGATAATTACTTAAAATTTGTTTGTTTCATGATTTATTTTTCAATGCAAAACAAATATATATATAAAAAAAGTCAATCATAAAATATTTTTAATTTATAAAAAATAAGAAAATATTTTTCTTAATACTACTAATCGAGTACCATAAATAAATCACTTAAAGGAGATATTTTATAAAATTTTTGCACTTAAACAACCATCGTTACAACAACAATCATCCCTACCACTCTACTCTCACCGGTCACTAAAACTAATACTATTACAATTACTATCTTATTATTAATATAACCACAATTTTATTATCAATCTACTCTAACCCTCCGACATTATTATTATAACAACAACAACCACCATTTCAATACTACCATCACAACTTGTCATCACCACTTGGTTATCAATGCAATCACCATTTCATCACCATCTTTGCTCTAACACCATTATTATTACAATAACAATCAAAATTACTACCGTCTTATTATTAAAATAACAACTATTAAAACTATCATTTTATCACATTTGCAATGACAATTATCATTCTACTAAAGTCACTTCCATCAATATTATCATAACTACTACCGGTACTAATATTATAACTACCATCGATACAATTACTTCTATCACCAACATTACAACCCTTTTATTTTATTTTATTATCATCATTTAAAAACAACAAATAAAAATTATTTTATTTTGTAGAAAAATATTTTTCTCAATACATCCGAACAATGAAAAATAATTTATTTTTAGAAAATATTTTACAAAACAAACATGCATTTAGATTACTTTATTTTCTTAATTCAATCTTGTTCGAAATTAACTTGAAAAAAAGACTAAAGGACAATAAAATAATGACTTGAGATTGAAGTTTTATATACATTTCTTTCACATAGAGTAATTATTGAGACTGAGTAATATAAAATATAAAATTTCTTGTTAGCAATACATCCAAAATATATATATATATATGAATTATGAATGAATCCAAAAAAGTTACACAAACATTTTAATTAAAGAGCAATATGGATAGAGACTAATCCTACAAACCAACATCAAGGCAATTGTTTTATGGGATTCATCTCGTGTTTAGTTATGATTTTTTATAAGAAGTTATGAAAAATTTTTAAAAGGGCACCAACAAAACATATGCTTTGTTTCTCAACAAAACTAGTGCCTAAACATATGTTCAGATGTGGTTTGTGCCGTTAAATTATGGTATTATACATGTCTTTAATTTCAAAGTCCACAAACCATAGTACAAGAAGAAGCTGTAAAAATCCTAGCAGATTCAATGGATAGCCAGCTACAAGATCCTGAGTAAAGTTTTGGTGAATCTTATAATATTTTCTACCTCCAATTTGATCAAACTTGAGGAGGTGACATAATTTTAATACTATGAAATTGGATAATTGACCTCAAAATACCTTGCGTGTGTGTATGTATATAGAACACGAGGACTTTCCTCTTCCCTGTCTCCTTTCTATGTAATCTTCTGGGCCCTAAACAGGGTCGGAATAGTACTGTTGGATTTGAAGCACGGACTATTGAGCTTTACTTTTCTATCATTAAAAGTACAACTGACGCGTCGTTGGGTGCTTGCTCATCAATTCCCAGTTCCCACCGTGTCTCTAACATGATGTTAAAAAATGAAACAAAATACCAACAAGTTGTTGTACAGTAGTAAGCAAATGGGTATTCAGACAAATTTTATGGATAATAATCTTGAACAAAACAAACATTTTTTCTTACATGCAGTTGATTGTTGATATGTTATAAATGGATTCGGTTTGCAGATGAATGGACACGAGATCATCTCTTTCACTGACAGGATATATTAAAGAAAGTCAAAACTCCAATAATACATTACTGGCCACCAAACTTTCTTTCTGAGGCCACCGAACTTTCTTTCTGAACAGAAGACTTGCCTGGCACTTTCAGCTTTGAGAGAACCAGGTAGATCCTTCTTTCCTTATAGAAAAGTGGCATTTTCAAGAAACTCGTGACAAACCATTTTAAGGTATTATTATTTCTTTCTTTCTGAAACAAATTGAACAAGTGTCTGTGTCTTCAAAGCATGTACTTTGAGGCGTTGTTATTGAGCAAACTGGATTACTGGTTTCTTCATTTTCCCTATGAAACCAGGGATCAGTGTGTTATTGGATGACATAGGGGGCATTTGCAAGGTTCACATAAATCACGAAAGTTATGAAGTCTGTTAAAAAGTTCCATGGAGGGTTCTGTATATTTTTGCTTCCTTGTATCTGTTATCAGTTCATGTGTGACATTTCTTATGTGTTGCATCTTTACCATTCTCTTCGTTGAATTGTTTTGAGTTATTATTATTTTAAATCAGGAAGCAGCATTGATTTTTTTACTAGCTCTATTTGTCTTATTGAGTACTTGATCTATCATTGCTGAAATTTCTATGCTGAATTGGGCGTTGAGTGTGTATTATTACTGATGTGTTTAAACCTCTAAAACAATAAAATAGTATCATGTCGAGCTCATTGTGAAATGGTCATAAGAAGCTAATCCACAAGACAACGATAACTTGACTCAAATGTCCAAGCTCACTTGCGCACGTATTGAGTAATGGCTAAATTTCGTAAAATAATGGTTATGCATTGACCATATAATATGACAAACATGGATGTAATAACTTGTGATCTTAACTAGGCTTTACAAAATATAAACACACACACACATTCTATATAATAGATGACGAACTTAATTTAAGCAATCTGCCTATGTGAGTGATATTTTGCCTTTTGCTACAGAAATGTACTGTTCTGTTCTGGTGGATTTTGCTGCTACTAATTAGTTAGGGTGTTTTCACTCTGATATATAATTATTAAAAGCAGTCTGATTAAACTGAACTGCAACAAGACTGATTTTGATTTCTTTTTATTTTTGAACAGGATCCTACCTACAGAAGCCAGTATGGGTGATTGGATTAGTGGTTTACCAGATGAGATCCTTTTCCGCATCATTTCTTCTCTCCCCTTCGAATCTGCTGTACAAACAATTGTTCTTTCAAATCGATGGAGACTTCTGTGGGAGACTGCATTAGTGCAACATGGCACCAACAAGGATGTAGCTAACGCAATGTCTGGTTTTCTTGTCAATTTTGATGAGCAAGATCCATCAAAGAATACCAGGAAATTTCAGTTCCACTTTTGCAATGGTAGTGTCCTCTTGGCTATCATTGGATGTAATGACAGCCTTCATCTCCATTTCTCTGCTGGAAAACCAGAATCTCCTCGACAGTTCGGCTTGCAATTAAAGTTCAATCACCAAAACCTTGCCAGCCAACCATCTCCATCTTCCTTTTATGTTAAAAACCTTCATCTGATGTCAGTGACCTATCTTACGAACGAGGTGGTTTCTTCCATAATAACAAACTTTCAGCTTCTTGAGACCTTGAAAATCACTGGCTGCAACTGTTTACAATCGTTAAGTGTGGGCTCTGACACAAAGCTTCTGAGCTTAACCATCTTTGACTGTCCACAACTAAAATCTCTCCACATCAGATCTTTTAAGCTTCGCACATTCCGCTATCGAGGGCCACTACCTTGGATTTGGCCTGAATATCACTTTAACCTGGCCGATGCCTTGCTTGGTTCCAGAGAAGGACCTGGCTATAGTAGCTTTACTGGCCGTGACTTTGGCTCGGTTCTCTTGACTATAAAGAATGTAAAAGTGCTCACTCTGTGCAAATGGACGTTTGAGGTATGCTTTAAACTTGGTTTTTGACCATTAGTCTTGCTTGTTATGCAATTTGTCAATCGTTTATTTTGACTGTTTTTGTAAGAAAGTAAGTTCTGGAAATTTTTGCTGCAGGCGTTGATCCGTCCATCGCTATCCAACTTACTTGCAGATTTCCAATTCTATAATTTAAAAGAGTTGTGGTGGATTGATAATTCAATCGAAAGATATGGCAGCGATGCTTTAATCTCTTTCCTGAAATTATGTCCTTCATTACAGCAACTCTTCGTGACAGTAAGTATTTTTCACTATATATAGGGTCAGATTCTTTATTTCCTTCTTTACGATGATTCCCATTCGAATATACCAGAGGGAGTTCTTTTATGAATGTCTTTCTGATATACATTTGAACGATCTTCTAGACAGCACTATTAAGGCTTGTGCTCTCTGAGACAAATTGCACACTGACAGGTTTTGTTTATCACAAAAAACAGACCACTAAAAAATATCTAAGTTAGTATGGACACAGCTCTATTTGAAGACAGAAAAACTCAATCTAATAGATAAAAACCTAGAAGAACTCGTAGAAAAAGACAAACAGTCAATGCTGAAAATTTTTGTGCCATGTCCTAAACAATGAGTATCATCATAAAGAGGTTTTATATCACTGCAGATTGATCCTAAAAGCTACTGCATGGAAAGCAGCACAAAATGTTCTATACGAGCTGGCAGGAATACACGGCTGCATGATCTAAAACTTGTTAAACTGGATGGATTTGAAAATGAAGCAGATGAGATACTCTTGGCAGAACATATAGGAAAGGTTGTCACTACTGAGCCACTAATTCTAGCATCATCAGATGGGATTTCCTTGCGAAGATTGATTGAGGTAAGCTCAAACCAGCCAAAGCAGAGCAGTACAGACAACTTGGAAGCGGTAGTAGCACCCCATTCATGTGAAAGGAAGTGTTCTTATAAGTTTGTGGAAGTTCAAGATATGAAGGAATTGTGTCTTAAACATGTTCATATGGGTCTTTGAACTCAAATTCTATGCGTAATTTATACTCTGTTAGACTTCTTTTCAGGTTAGCCGCCTATTTAAGTCCATGAGACCCTGCGTAGTCTACAATGCAGGGTTTTCATTTTTTTTGTAAAAAACAATAGAGCCGGTTTTTCTGAACATTTTATGACATGGTTTCCTCTATGCTGTCAAGGTTTCAGTTTCTTAAGAGTTCAAAAATTAAAGACAAATGCACTGATTTGTGATGTTTTGACATCAAAAAACTTTCGGTGCATTAAAGCACGTGCCTGGCTTCTATCTGTATAATAGTGATTACAATCTATTCTTGTTACCCTTTCAGAGTTCTACTACCAGTTTCTTACTTTGTTCACTTGAACTCATGTTGATATGCAATCTAACATGACTAACTCTTCCCCCAGTATGTTAGCCAACGAAAGAAAGAAACTTCCTGGCTAAATTATTCCAAAGCAAATGAAATACTTCCGTTGATTCAATAAGGAAAAGACAACAAAGGCTAACCTAAGAACATAAAATTAGTGGAAATTAGAAGGATACAAACAACTATAACAACAGAAGTGCCAGAAATTCAAACTTTATCCCTCCTTAGTCTGAAAGAGGAGAGATATTTATAGTTTGACACCGATCTATGGACTGAGCCAGCAGACCCAGTGAAGACTCCAAGTCCAGCTCACTGCAGCAGGACCAAAAGAGACTGCTGGGTTTTCTGGATGCACGATCAAGAGTACCTCTTGCTAAAATGTCGGCACCAACTAAACCATTGCAATGTAATGCCCGAACTTCCTTTATTTGAATCCTCTTTAAATCAGACTACAAGTCCAGTGGTCACACAATCTTAAAGCACATTCCATTCATGGTGTCACACTCGCAGGGCAAATGCTGATACTTCCAGCCGTCGATAAATTTTAAATTTGAATCAGGCATCAATCTATTTAATAAATCAGAAACAAACACAGACTGTGTGTTATTCTACTTCTGGCCGCCGCTTCAAAATTTCCTCATAACAACTAGTAGCTAAACCCAGTATCATTTCACAGCTTAAGCACCATCATCTGTTATAAACCCAGTGATACCGACAATGAGACCAGCCCGTCCACCTGAAACTGTGTTATAGGTGCTCATTCGTCTGAGCGTTAGCACAAACAAGAAGATATCTGCAGACTGCAGGGGTGGTGATGTTGATAATAAAGGAGTTGACATTAATGATGTTTGGAAAAGAGCAGAAAGTGGAATTTGAAGGAGCTGTAGGTAATAAAATGTGTGTGGATTTAGACAAAGAGAAGTGAATTTAGACAAAGAGAAGATGTATATATAATGGGGAGCAAGTAAGGGAAGGACATGGAGGCTAGTTCTGTTTCGAAGAGTTCTGTGTTGTTATATAGTTTGTTGGATGGCTGAGGTCGCTTGGTAAAGGAAGGGAAAAATCCGTATAAGGGCTTAACCGATTAAAAGCTGTGTGTTAGGCCCTGAAAGGTGGTTTATCTTTTTTTGCTGTCAATTGCGCCCCAATTGGACTGTATTGGTTCCGTTCTTTTTATTTTCTTCAATTTATGCCTCGATTTTCTTCTTTTCCTTTATTTTTGATTTTTTTGTTTTTCTTCTTTTTCTCTTTTCTTTTTGAATTCTTTTTTGTTTTTTAAAAATTAAAATTAAGGGATAACCTTAGGAATTTCAATTATAAAAATTTATATGACTACCTAAAAATCATTAAAAAAATCAAGAAATTACACAACATGCAATGTTTTTTTAATTTTTTTAAAATTTTGTATAAAATAAAAATGTATGGAAGGTCAAAAATAAGTTAAGACAATTATAATAATAACAACAACCACTACCTCACATAACATCATCACTTGGTTATCAATATAACTCGTTGTTTCATCATCATTTTTGTTAAGATACAATTATTACCACAACAATAATCACCATCACTATCACTTTCTTATTAAAATTACAACTATTAAAACCATCATTTTATCACCGTTACTATGACAATCATCATTTGACCATTACTATTACTATTACCATCAAAATTATCAATTTTAACATTATATGACAATCATCATTTGACCATTACTATTACTATTACCATCAAAATTATCAATTCTAACATTATAACTAGTATCATCACTACCATTATTACTAGCACCATCATTAGTTTTTTCATCAACATTACAACTTTTTTTTCATTATTATTATAATCGTTCAAAAACCACAAATTAAAAAAAAATTTCTTAATACATCCAAACAATGAAAAATAACTTATTTTTCAGAAATTTTTTTTTTCACAAAACAAACATGTTACTTTATTACCTTAATTCAATCTTGTTCGAAACTTGAAAAAAAGACCATAGGACAATAAAATAAAGACTTGTGATTGAAGTTTTATATCTATTTCTTTCATATAAGAGTAATTATCGACAAGTTGGTAATATAAAATTTCTTGTTACTAATACATCCAAAAAATAAAAAATTATGAATTATGAATGAATCTTAATTAGTTACAAAAAAATTTTAATTAAAGAGCAATATGCATAGAGACTAATCCTAAATACTAAGATCAAGGCAATTGTTGTATGGGATACATCTCTTGTGTTTAGTTATGATTTTTTCATATATATATATATATATATATATATATATATATATATATATATATATATATATATATATAAGTTATGAAAGATTTTTGAAAGGGCACCAACAAAACATAGGCTTTGTTTCTCAACAAAATTAGCGCCTGAACATTTTCAGATGTTGTTTGTGCTATTAACTTATGGTATTGTATATGTCTTTAATTTCAAAGTCCACAAACCATAGTACAAGAAGCAGCTGTAAAAACCCAAGCGGATTCGATGGATAGCTAGCCATAAGATTCTGACTAAAGTTTTGATGAATCTCATAATATTTTCGACCTGCAATTTGATCAAACTTGAGGGGTTGACGTAATTTTAGTACTATGAAAATGAATATTTGACCTCAAATACCTTGTGTGTGTGTGTATACATATAAACACGAGGCCTTTCATCTTCCATGTCTCCTTTCTATGCAATCTCCTGGGCCCTAAACAAGGCCGGAATAGTACTATTGGATTTGGAGCATGGACTATTGAACTCTACTTTTCAATCATTTAAAGTAGAACTAACGTATCGCGATTAAGGATGACAACAGGTCAAGAATAAAATACATATTCATTTTATTTAATTCAATAAATATTAATTAAAAATATCTAATAAATAATAATAATAAAATATATATTTATTAATATGATTTTAAGATATGAGTATCTATTTTTTTTATCTTATTAATACTCAATAATTTATTTAATTTTTTTTATTAACATTCATGGATCTAATTGCACAAAATTTAAAAATTAAAAATTAAAATATTTTTTTAAAAAAACCTCGAGGATCAAAAAAACTATAAATAAATTATCAAAATATATAAAAAATAAAAAATAAAAAACTTTGCTTAAAAATTATAGAGATTAATACTTATTAATTTATTTAAATTTTTTATTAATATGTATGGATCTAATTACATAAAATTTAAAAATTTAAAAATAGAATATTTTTTAAAAAACCTCGAGGATCATAAAAACTTCTAAATAAATTATTAAAAGAAATTTTTTTAAAAAAATTATAGAGATTAAAATGAATATTTTTGACAATTTAATATTATCCTGCGTAATCTCAGATGCAGGGTTTTCATTTTGTGAAAAACAAGGGAGCCGGTTTTTTTTTTAACACTTTATGGCATGGTTTCCTCTATGTCTTCAAAGTTTCAGTTTCTCAAGAGTACAAAAATTAAATGGGACAAATGCACTGATTTGTGATGTTTTGACGTCAAAAAGCTTTTGGTGCATTAAAGCGCGTCCCTGGCTTCTCTGTATAATAGTGATTGTAATCTGTTCTTGTTACCCTTTCAGAGTTCTAGTACTGGTTTCGTACTTTGCTCGCTTGAGCTCATGTTGATATGCAATCTAATATGACTTAACTTTTCCCCCAGTATGTTAGCCAAAGAAAAAAATGAACTTCCTGGCTAAATTATTGCAAAGCAAACGAAATGCTTCCGTTGATTCAACAAGTAAACGACAACAAAGGCTCTACGAACATAAAATTAGTAGAAATAAGAAGGATAAAAACAACTATAAAAACAGAAGTACCGGAAATTCAAACTTTATCCCTCCTTAATCTTAAAGGGGAGAGATATTTATAGTTAGACACTGACCTATGGACCAAGTCAGCAGACCCAGTGAAGACTCCAAGCCCATCTCACTGCAGCAGGACCAAAAGAGACTGCTGGGTTTCTGGATGCACGATCAAGAGTACCTCTTGCTAAAATGCCGGCACCAACTAAACCATTGCAGTGGGTGGTGATGCCCAAATGTCCTTTATTTGAATCCTGTTTACTGTATAATTTACATAACTTTTATATCATTTTATATTAAATTAGTTTTTATTGTATTATATTAAGATAATTAAGAACAATATAATGATTTTGAGTTTTTATAGGAAAAATAATAAATCGGAATGAATAAACCAAAATCAAAATGCATAAAAAGCCAAAGCCTTTAAAGAACCAAAGAGACACGCGGCTGTGTGAGCTACAAGAGAAAAAAGCTATGGTTGTGTGAAATAAAGAAGAAAACTATATGAATGTTTAGCAAAGAAGATACACGAGCAGTAGCAATCAACACCGCTTGGGCAAAAAAAGTGACAAGATGGTGTGTATCATTGCTGAAATGTCTTCCAAGAGAGAAAAAAACATCACACTGGTAAAAGCTGAAGGACACATGATGAAGAGCAAATCGAGCATGACCGTGTCCCTCGATCAAGCAAGCCATGTGCTGCTAGCTCTTCAAGGTTTCAAATTATGTGAAATAAAAGAGTAAGTCGTGTGTCACAACAAACAAGCCGTGTGTCCATGTGGGCTGTCATGTGTTTATTGTAATCCTACTTTTTATTATAAATAAAGAAGTTAGGGTTTTACTAAGAATTCTCCCATTATTTTAGCCACCATAGATAAAAAGCTTTTGTAAGCAAAACCATGAAACATTAAAGACCTTTCTTAATTGAAGAAAAAGTTGAAGCCTTTGGTAAAATCATTGTGGGATCTAAATGGTTTTTATTTCTAATCCTCTTCTTTTGAATATGTGATGTTTTTTTTTTATGTTATATGAATATGGTTGTATAATTGATTGACTAGAGTTCATGCTAATTGATTAATCATTATATCTATTGTTAGTTAAGTATTCAAGTTCGTAATTGCTTATGGTACTAAGTGGGGGTTAATAATTATAAATGGGTTTTTGTTTAATTCCTTGAAAAATATAGAATTAGATTAAATTTTTCTAGCGTTTAGAAGAGTTGTTTAACTTCACCTATCTTTCTATCATTTAATGTTGTTCTCGAATTGAATCTAGATAACGTCTACTAAGTAGTTCAATAGTTAGAGATTAATTAAATAACTTCTATTGATTAACAAATTATTAAGGAAAGGTTGAGGATAACATACGTATTATTATTATCTTAAGGTGAATAGTCATAATAAAAATGAATTAATATTTGAATCGATTATTAATGATTAAATCAAAAGTGGAAACCAACCTTTAACCAAAGTTTTTATGATTATTGTTATCTCTTCATTTGCTTTGACTACATTTACTACTTTCAATCATAGTTTTAAATAACAATCGCGGTTGAAAGAATGATCGCAATCACGATAGCGAGATCAAAGCTTATTGCGATCGTAAAATAACGGTTGTGTTAACAAATGTTGTGAATATATTAGCAATCGTTAATAAATTCATTCTAATTTGTGTATTTTTAACAGTTTTACTAATTAAGCATACCAATAAGTAATAACATTTTTAATAGTTTAATATCACACCACATTAGTTGAATTTATTACAAAAGAATAGTTGAAAATAGATTAATATCACACAAAAAATTATAAAATTAATTTGAGTTAAGAATTATCTTTATGAATTATCTCGCTTTCCAAACAAATATTTAAAATATTTTATGTGGTTTATTAAGAAAATAAGAAATTTAAAATAAATTGAGACTTGAGAGAGAGAGAGTTCAATGTTCAGAATTGATCTCTAATAATTTTATAAAGACATGAATGAAGTTGAAAATTACATGATATTTTAACTTGGGAAAGTATTTTTTTTCCTTTCATCATTTGATTGCATGGAATCAAATTCAAAGACTGTAATTTGCCTTAACTATGCCACGGTAGGACACGCCATAAATCCTCTACTGTGGCATACACGGTGTCGACTACTAGTCCAGTAGTCACACAATCTTAAAGCACATTCCATACAAGGTGTCACACTGACACCTGATGATAGGGCAAATGCTGATGCTTCCAGCCGTAGATAAATTTTAAATTTGAATCAGGAATCAATCTATTAAATAAATCACAAACAAACACAAACTCTCTGTTATTCTACTTCTGGCCGTTGCTTCAAAATTTCCGCATAAAAACGAGTAGCTAAACGCAGTATCATCTCACAGCTTAAGCACCATCATCTGTTATAAACCCAGCGATACAGACAATGAGACCAACCTGTCGACATGAAACTATGGCATAGGTGCTCATTGGTATGAGCCTTAGGACAAACAAGAAGATGTCTGCAGACTGCAGTGGTGGTGATGGTGATAATAAAGGAGATAACATTAATGATGTTTGGAAAAGAGCAGGAAGTGGAATTCGAAGGAGCTGCAGGTAATAAAATGTGTTTGAATTTAGACAGAGAAGATGTATATATAATGGGGAGCGAGTAAAGGAAGGACATGCAGGGTAGTTCGGTTTCGAAGAGTTCTTTGTTTTGTGAGTTTGTTGGATGGCTGAGAGAGGACTTGGTAAAGAAAGGGAAAAATCCATAAAAGGCTTTACTGATTAAAAATAAAAGCGGTGTGTTGGACCTTGAAAGGTGATTTGTCTTGCTAAGATCCAGAAAATGTGACTAGTTTACATTGACCAAGCTTATAGGGGAATTCCTCGTTATAATCCTAACCACATGAGACAAGATCGATGAGTAAAACAGTAACAGAAATAGCTATAGTGCAGCTAAAAATGTTGTTGCATCTGGTGTTATTATACCACCAGTGAAACACAGCAATCCTCACAACCAAACAACACACTCTTTGTACATAGACAAGCCTGTCGCATTTGTTACTACTTGGATAGCTGAAACATCCAGCTCATAAGACAAGAGAAATTATAAGCATTTGTAGATTTCAGAGGAAGCAATGCTACAATCCAACTCAAAAACCTGAATTTATGATACAATTAAACTTGCAAAAATCAGGATTCAAACTGACTCATCTATTGTTGTGTTATTTTCAATCTTGAAGGAGAAAAATCTTATATTAGCACTCAACAGACAACAAATACCATATTTGGGAATGAATCCCAGAAAAACATTTAGACAAATTTCCGGGGGACAGTACCAAGGGAAGTGATCTTTGAGATAAATGGCTTATAAGGCCTTCGTTATCTTTAATGAATAGGTGCGATGGAGAATTCGTTGGGGGCATTAAGGAGCCAGTTGAGAGAGTAGAACTTAACTAGTGCCTTAGGAACTACACATGTTTCTCAGTTAGTATCAAGACGGAACTATTTTGAGACCGAAAAGCATATCGGACAGATTAAAAGCCTGGAAGAACTCATATTCAAAGACATTAAATTATGAGTATTTTCCATATTGAGGTTTTTATATTACTGTGCAGATCAATCCTGAAAGCTCTACTACATGGAAAGCACGATGAAATGTTCCATACAAGTTGGTAGGAGCATACAGTCGCAACATCTAAAACTGGTTAAATTGGATGGATTTGCAAATCAAGATGATGAAATCCTCTCGGCAGAACGTATAGGAAAGGTGGCAATTTTAAAAGAAAAAAGAAAAAAAAAACTGGTTCATCGAAGGCCATTACACTTTTTTTTAAAGTTCATTGGGGTTTTTATTGATTGGAATTTCTAGTTATCTTGGCAGAAATTTGATATTTTTATTCCCGTCTCAGCAAATAAAATTGCCGAGCTCGCTAATCCTAACATCTTCAGGTGGGATTTGCTAGCAAATTTTGATTTAGGTGTCCTCAAACAAATCAAAACAGAACAGAATGACAACTTGAAAGTCGCAGCGCCCAGCCATATGAAAGTAAATGTTATAAATATGTGGAAATACAGGATATGAAGGAATGATGTCATGGTTTGGTGTTTAAAACCATTTTCCTGGCTTCAGTCTGTTAGTATTAATGCTTATATTCTGCAATTTTTTTCACTTTCTGAGTTTGGTATTGAGATTTCTTACTTTTCTTTCACTGAAAGCAATTTTCTGATATGCCCTGATCTGATCAAGTTTGTCCAAGGAAGTCTGTCATCAAAAGAAAAGAACTTCCAGACTAAATGAATTCAAAGCAAACAAAACATTGCCATTGATTCAACAAGTAAAAGACCACTAAATAAGGTAGCATCCACTTCTATAAAATAAGTGGAAACAGCAATAATACAAACAACAACAACAACAACCAAACTACCAGAAATCCAAACTTTATCCCTCCTTAATTTAAATGGGGAGAGATATTTATATTTCAACAAGGGATAAAATTCTTAAAAATCATTGGTGGGAAGTGGCTCATGTCCACCACTAGCAATGAAGATGTTATCATAGACAAGGGCAGCAATGGCAGCACCAATGAATGGCCCAAGCCAGTAAACCCAGTGGTTAGTCCAAGTCCAGCTCACAACAGCAGGACCAAAAGAGACTGCTGGGTTCATGGATGCACCATCAAAAGCACCACCAGCTAAGATGTTGGCACCAACAATGAAACCAATTGCAATAGGTGCAATAATGCCCACATTTCCCTTCTTTGGATCCACTGCTGTGGCATACACAGTGTAGACTAGTCCAAAGGTCATCACAATCTCAAACACTACCGCGTTCCATGCGCCCACCCCAGATGATAATCCAAAAGCTGGTGTTTCCTGCAGTAGAAAAAATTAAATTAGAGTGGTAACAAAATCGACCTAGGCCTTGTAACATGTTGGTATTCTTGGTTGGAATTAAGCTGGTAAGAAAATCTGTATGCTAAAGTTAAAAGTCTTACCCATCCACCAGTGGAGAATTTAAGTAGCAAGCAAGCCACAACAGATCCAAGCAACTGTGCAATCCAATACAGAATGCTCCTCAATAGGGTGATGTTTCCTCCAAGAAGTGCACCAAAGGTCACAGCAGGATTCACATGACCTCCAGAAATGTTAGCACCAACCGAAACAGCCACGAAGAGAGCAAATGCATGAGCCAGTGCGGCAGCTATTAGGCCAGAAGGTGTGTTCGAAGCATTGTCGGTCAACTTGTCTGCCAAAACATCAAGCCAATGAGTCCTTGTCAGGTATGAGACAGCAAACACTATAATTTTATCATTTGACTATTGTATTAGCCATAAGTGAGCAACCTTGTGAGAAAAAAAAAATGCCACCTTTTGTTTTCAGAAGGTAAAATTGCATTTTTTTTCCTACTTGCAAAATAAAAGAAACCCCTTTAAATTTCAACCATTAGTTACTTAAATCGGCTTCTATGCTAGCAATAGTTTTATTTGTTTGTATCAAATTCTTTTTTTCCAACAATAAAGGTGCCTTTAAATTAGTTTGGACGTATTTCGAAATTAATCCATCTCTGATCATAACTAAGAGGCATTCCTCAACACACAATCTCAAATATTTTGAAAATAAATTTTTTAAAATATTGATTATAAAAATTGAATCCTACCTTACAAATTTATAAATTTACAAATCTATGCTTGCTTGCTTACTAATGGACCACCATCTTTATATCAATAAGTGTTAACTAGTAATTCAATAAATAAAGTTGCATGCATGATACTATTCCAAAATATTAACCATCTAATTTCCTGCCATGTGATTTGGTCGTTAAGCCAAATATAAAAAATATGGTTAACTGTGAAAAAAAAAGATGATTGAAAATTGATCTTACTGAAAGCCATGCCAGATCCTGAACCGGCAAAAACGAAAATAAGCATAGAGATGAACTCTGCCAATGCAGCCCTAAGTGCATCTGGGTGGCTTGCCTCTCTAGGTGTTCCAACTGCAATTCTATGGATAGGCATTTTGTTGAATTTGAGCTCACTTTAATTTTCCTCAACCCTTAAGGCTCAACCTCAATATTTGTTTTAGAAGCTCTCTTGTTGCTTTTCTATCCTAGTTATAGCTAGTCGCCAGTGATCCTTCCCCTTTATATATACCTGGAAAAACGGCTAAAAGAACTGGTCCAACCGGTTACCCGGTATAAACATGTGGACCAATAGGGAGAGGCACTTGATTAAGGCAACATGACGGTGACTTTACAGCTCGTGAATGGGACTTGTGGGTTAATTATGTGGTGACACGTTTGTGGTGGAGATTGAATTTAATTTAGCTACGCGAGGGGAAGATTTGGGATCGCCGTCCATGTGAGGTGGAGGGGCCACCTGCATAATTGGGTACTCCGTTTGTGCTTTGTCACCAGCTAAGACCTCGTTTTGATCTCGTGGTTGCGAGATGGGCGGCGAGTTTTTGGACTTGGACATGGACCGACCTTTGAATATTCAATATCAAATGTGTTTCGGCTATGGCTTGTGGGACCTCTTTGGTTTGCGTCTTGTGGGCCTATTACTATTGCTGTTACTGTTACCTGACTGTTTAATCTCGTCGACTCTGAATAATTATTGGTTTTTTTTTTGGTGCACGTGAAATTATTGGTGGAAATGGAACGTTATGAATTTATGTCGATAGATATTTTCTTTTTCTTTTTATGTATTTGAATGGTCACAATACTTTGGAATTAATTTTCAAATATTGTAAACTAAATATCTTCTATTAAACTTATGTCTAAATTCATATCTCAAGAAATTTTTATTTTATGATTTTATTTTCACGTTGCTTTCAAACATTAATAACTAATTGTATGGGAAATTCGAAATAGCATCTACTATCCCTTTAGTCAAGACCTTTGATTATATACTATATATCATCTAATGCATGCTAAAATTAACATCTCATTAATAATATTGTGAAAAAAGTGGTCCAAAATTAATTGCAACATCGTTGTAGAGTAATGGGAAGAAAAGGCGTGTAAGCAAAGAACTCAACCTTAGAAATCAATGCCATGCAGGAGGGAGGGCTCCTTTCGAAGTTACCAAGCTTGTCTAGGGTTAGTACTCATGAATGATGGTTGAGCCAAGGGCACAAAATATGGCCAGCGGTAGTAACTCTCTATCTAGTATGGTCAACAACAACAAGATCTATATGGATACAGAGATTTTTTCTTTTTTAAGCTTCGATGTTAGCAGATGGGATGAACAGAAATTTTGGACCCCACGTTTGAAAACCCAGGTGGTTGTTTACTGTAGGAGATTGAGGCAGATTTGAACTTCCGAACAAGGCGAAAGAGAATTATTGCGAGGAACAGTGCGTGAAAAACGAATGATTGGCTTTGGGATTAGATTAAATTGAAGCAAAAAATTACTATCAAGTGATTAACAAACTGATTTTCAAATGAATTTAAACTTGAGATATCAACCAAAAGATAACTTATAATTTGTTTCTTTCTTGTGTTGAAGATTTGGTTATTTGATTTAGTTCAAGCAAGACCAAGTAGGGTTTAAGGGTACGATACTTTTTTTTATTTTACTTTTCTTCGTGCGGATTGTGTGGGGGAGGTGGATGGGAGGGGGGCCGTTAATATTTGTAATGGGGTGGTTTTATTTTTTTTATTTTTTGTTTATTTTTTGTTTTTTTTTCCCAAAACCTATCACTAGTCTTTTGTCTTAAAGGAGTAGGTACTACGCTGGAGTAATGGAGTGTTTATTTTAATCCATTATTTAGTTATATAATCCAAAAAATAAACTTAATGATTCAAAGTCCATACAGGATATGCACAACACAACGCACTTGATGCATAAATCCCTTATTAGGTAAAAGTCTACATGAATATGTGGTGGAGAAGGTTTGCCATCCGAGATATCATTGATTTTTAGGCTGCCATCTCAAACAATCCAAAGCACCTAATGTTTTTAAACAATTCAAAAGGACTAAAGCTAATCCATTTTATAAAATTATCCATGTTGGAAGTTGGCGGCATCAAATGACAACTGAACTTTACTTTAAAATTTGTCATTACACCATGCAATTATGAAATTCTAATAAGTTTTGTTTTCTGTTAATTAAAAAAAAAAAAAAGCATCGTTGTGATGAGGTCCCATTTTTAAGTCAAGAAAAGAAGCCCACCCTCGCAATTTTTTTGTTTGCATATCACTCTCATTGATTAATTTTATCATGTGATAAATTAAATCTGTGAGCACCATTCAAATTATGATCTTTGATTGCTGCCGGCGAAGGACAACATCAATTCTCATCATTGGACCGACCATTTCTTTTCTGTTTCTCCTCCGTCACCTTACATCACTAGCCCTGATCGAGATTTGTCCTTTCTTGCGTTCTTCTAAGCTGGTTTGTCTCTTTCTCCCCGTTGTCCTAAACATTCCACTCCACTGCTCACACCACTGGATTCGGTAACAACTATTTATATGGGCTGGGCTACCTGCGTCTGAGCCCAAAGGCATTTACGCATAACGGGCTAAATTCCCAAGTATATAACTTTATTAACTGGCTCAATAAAGTTATTGAGGTGATATCTACCATTTCATTAACTGGCTTTTTTTTCAATCCCAAAAGATTTTTTTTTTTTTGGGATACAATAAGCATAGTACCCCTCGCTGCGGAACAATCTATATATATGTTTTAATATTTTTAAAAATTTAAAAATCTAGGTGTAAAATAAAAATTAATTAACACTAATTGTCAGAATTTTTTTAATTTAATGTTTATTATATAATATTTAATAAAATGTATGGTCTCCATAGTTGAGTTTAAATATATCTTAGAAATATTTTTTATTTTGATAAAAAAACGCACTTAATTATTTATTTTATAAATAATCAAATTGGAAGAAGGTGCTACATAAATTTATATTAGAAAAATATTTAATTTTGGTCAATGAGTTTATACCAAAAAAAAAAAAAAAAGCAGTCATTAATTATGAAGAAAAAATTGTTTGGAGTAAATAATAAATAATGGAAAAAAAAAGAATAAAAAAGGGAAAAGTAAAAATAGGCTCGGTTGGGCTCACATCAGGCCCACACAAATGGGCTCGCACTAAGCAAACACTGTTGGGCTGGAAGCACAGCCCAACCATAAAAAAATACAAGGATCTTTTTGTAATAATAACTAACATCACAAACTGTTTTGTATAAAATTAAAACTTGAAGAATCAAAATGTAAAAAACTGAACAAAATATATATATATATATATAGCTTTTTTTTTGGGAAAAACGATATCGTTTCAAGTGAAAAAGGCACCAAACAACGGGCATTCTGTTTCGTTGTAGCAGTACATGTACAATATAATAAGAGAAGAAATAAAACACTAGCCACGCAAGAAGAAAGATCTATCTTGTTAACCAGCAAGCAAAGGGAGAGGCCTGAAGGAGGCGAGTCTCAATCATGAAGATTCATGTTAGAAGCAGAGCCTAAACCAGCCATGAAATCAACACATTGATTACCTTCTCAAACGACACGAGAAAGAGTGAAGTGATCGCTAGTAGAGAGGAGAGATAGAATAGGTATCAGTGATGATTGCCAAGCGTGGATGAAAAAAACAGGAATTAGATGAGATACATATAATAGCTTCTTGAGAGTTAGATTCCAACTCCAATCGGATAGCTCCCAAACGTTGTGCAAGAAGGATACCATACCTAATGGCCATCAACTCTGCCACCAAGTTTGTTGTTGAACCAATGAAGCCTGAAACCCCTTTAATCTAGAATGATCTCTAATAAGACCTCCGCAATAGCCCTCCCAGGATTCTCGAGGAAGCTACCGTCCATATTGAGCTTCCATGAGTTCCCAGTTGGAGGATGCCAATAGATCAAACGAGTGTTGCCTGGCTCTGCATAATGCAAAAGAGGAGCAAAAGCTTCTTTGTAATCACGAACCAACCTGCGAATTATATAGATTTGCTCAGAGATACCAATAATTTTATCCTGAATAACAAAATTATTGCGAGCCGTCCAAATAGTCCAGCAGATGCAAATAAATAACCAATTCTAACAGCACGAACCTTTGGTGTCTTGACGGTTAAGCATGAGCCAATCACTGAGAGGGTAAGAGTAAAAAAAGGCATGCTTCTCTAGAGGAATAAAATGGGCTCAGATATTTGTCGCATGAGAACAATCACAGAGAAGATGCAAAACTGACTCTGAAGATCTACCACTGTGAGAACACATGGATAAAGGAGACATACCATGCTCCTATCAAACTTCATTTGTCAGCAGCAAGTTCCAAGAGGTTAACCAAATGAAGAGTTTGTGTTTTCGTACAACCACCATTTTTCAGATCCAATCCTAGTCTCTGGCATCAGGACCAAGACAAGTTCGAGTGACATGAGAATAACCAAGTTTTGGAGTTTATAAACCAGAAGAGCTAGCAGACCAAATAAGTTTATTAGCAAAGTTGCTCTTTAGAGAGACTGGAACAGACTGAATATAGTATCTGATCTGTGCTAGAAACAATTGATTAATGACAAGCCAATCCCAATATTTAGAGCTCGTTAGAAAATCATTGACTGGAAGATGAGCAATATGTTCAGGAACACGATCAACCATTTGATATATAGGGCTTTTAGCAAGCCAAGAATCATACCAGAATGACACATGCAATCCATCGCCAATAAAAAATATCCTTCTTTAAGCAGGTTTAAACCATTTGATAATTCCTTTCTAAGTAGAAGATGCATTTTTTGTGCAAACATGAAGCATGTATTGGACCCTTTGGGATATTTAGCATTCATAATCTTTACCCAAAGTTTGTTAGAGCCATTGTCAATTTCCCCACCAAGTTTCCCAATAAGATCAGAATTAGCACCTTTGGCTTGTCTGATACCTAAGCCACCGTGGGATTTAAGGAGTGTGACTGTGACAGTCTCCCAATTGAGAAGATAGACACCACAGTCTTTACCTTCGCTACTCCAAAGAAATCCCTCGCCAATTTATCCACCTTGTCAGAAATAGATCTTAGGAGCCAATAAGATTGCATTGAGGAAACCAGGATTGAAGTGATAGTATTATGGGTCAAAGTAGCTTTACTAAGATGATTAAGAAGTTTACCTTTCCACCTATTCAAAGTTTACCTTCTTATTTCTACCAGTACAAAGAGGCACACTCAAGTATTTACCTAAATCCAGCATGAAAACACATACTTGAAATACTTTTAATCTGCTCATTTTTACGACAACTAATAGAAAAGCTAATTTAGATTTATTAGCGTTGACAGCCATGCCAGAGAAACCACAAAACTCCTGAAGAGTTAAATTAATAGCACAAGCTTGAGATATTCTTGTTTGAGCAAAGAAGATTACATTGTCCACAAGAAGGAGGTGAGAAATAGAAGGACCATTATACCCAACACGTTTTCGCTCATTTCGATGGAACCTCTTATCCATCAACATTGATAATTTCTCCATGCATAAAACAAAAAGATAAGGTGAAAGAGGATCACCTTGTCTCAAACCACGCTGAGGAGAAAAAGCATCAAGACGCTTACCATTCTAGAGGATAGAGAGAGATGACTGGGTCAAACAATTCATAATTAGTTTGATGTAGTTGTTAGAAAAGCAAAAAAAGAAGTGTCTGGTAGAAACTCCCAATCAACCAGATTAAAGGCTTTATCTAAGTCCTCTTTCACTGTCATACACCATGATGGGGTCCTTCTTATAGTAAGTGAAGTGGAACAATTCTTGGGCAACCACAATATTATCAGAAGCTAATCGTCCTTTGATGAAACTCACCCGCAAGGGACTGCGGACAAATCAAATCATCAAGAAATGGACAAATTCATTGACAATAACCTTGGTAAGAATTTGGTAAATCACGTTCCAAAGGCTAACCAGCCTGAAATGATTAACCGAGATAGGATTATTCTCTTTAGGAATTAAAACAATCAGAGTCTTATCTATTGAAGGAGAAAAAGTGCCCATATTGAAAACTCCATTACTCATATCAACCATCATACCCCCCACAGTATCTCAAAAGGTTTGGTAGAAGATGGGCTGAAGACCATCTGGACTCGGGAGTATGCTGGACAAAATGATAGACTGTAGGATGAATGAAAACTGTGGAACTAAATAAAGATGGAAAATGATTACGAATTTCTCCTTTGATAACCTCAGAATCCTCAGTCCATTGACCACTTCTCAATCAAAGTTTCTTAATCCTACTGTGTTTCCTTCTAGTGATAGTGGTGGCTTGGAAAAACCTTATAGCTTTATCACCAAGTTGGAGCCATTGAACTCGAGATTTTTACAACCAGAGAATTTCTTCTTACTTGTGCACTAATTTTAAGTCCTTGCTTAAATCCTATTGAAAAGAAACAAAGAAGGAAGAGTTTCGATTGCTGAGAAAATTTAAATGCCTTCTAGGCAATTCATAATAATACGTTTTCCCTTGCACATGCTTCCAAAAGTCAACTCATTAAATTATTTTACAGCCGTAAGAACTGAGTTAATGGCCTCTGCCACCGAATACTTGTAGGGAGCCCAAACATCCTTAGCAACTACTAGAAATTGATCATGAGTTAACCATGCTGCTTGGAAGTGAAAGGGCATGTGGTAAAAAAGGAGGAAGGTACCATAGTTTTAATCGCACAAGGTTATGATCAGAATTACAACAAGGTAAGTGGTGAATCAATCAAGAAACATGAGATGCTACGAGTCATTATACGATCCCCCATCAAGCCACACGTGAGTAGAGTAGATACCATTGCATTTGCGAGCGCAAGTGAAAAGATTGCCTTTAAATCCAAAGTCAAGCAAAGCACAAGCATCAATTCTTTCTTTGAATTTAAGAGCTCTACTAAAAGAGAACTGCCCCCCAAAGCCCACGACACATGAATTCGTTTAAAATTCTCTAGGATATAATCCTAAAGTTTATACTTTATAAAGGAGACAAGGCTAGCACAAATGGATGAACAAAGCCAGTGACCTCCAGAACGGTCAGAAATATGGAAAGTAAGACATTGAATAAGGGTATGATGAATTGAAGATGTAAGCTGATCTACATTCCAAATAGCCCAAATACCTCCAACGAAACCACTTGCATCAGACCCAACAACCGCGTCAAACTGTTGCGTGGAAAGGGATTGGAAGGTGAAATGAGGGAATGACCCTAATCGAATTGGGGATTAGGGATTTGCCAGCGTTTTTCTGAAGTTGGGTTAATTTTATTAGGCTGGACTTGAGTTATACTTACAATGGGTTTAACTTATGTTGGGTTTAGACCTTCATTATTAGTTCAAGCCAGTTAAGTGTCATAGCTTTTATCGAACTGTAATCTATCATTGTAAACCAACTAGTACTGCTATAAAGAGGAGGAGAACAATGAATGAGTTACATGAGAATTATAACAAATTTTGTCTCCTTCTTCCCCTCTCTTTCATGTCTCCTTCCTCCTTCTATCTTTCTTCTTTTTCTCTTTTCTACCCTAATATGTATGGAGCAATTCGCAAACAATGTGCTGATTGAAAATGTTGATTGGATGCATCACAACAGTTCTAACATAGAACATTTTCATAATCATAAAAAAAAAGAGATAGGAAACAAACACCAAGAAATGATTAACATTGCATACCATGCATTGCAGAAGGCAAAGCTCCGCTATCTGAGTACATATTAAAAGCAGTGGCTCCACCATTAGCAAACAACTGAAAGTTTTCAACGCAAGTCCTAGAGGAACTCTATGATTGAGAAGGGACAATTGGCGAAGGACTAGGGATAAACCATTAATAATTCCTGGGTCTGGAGGTTTCCGAAGAGTTTGAAGACCATTTGGCTCAGGAATATCCAGATTAATGATGCTTGTAGTTTCTTTTGATTGTGCCACGAAAGTATACTAAACGGGGTTTGCAAGATGTTTGATTAACCCAGAATCAGCTAAAAGAATGGGTTCTTTGAGAGGTTTCTTATGAGTATGATGGGCTACTTGATGGTACACCTTGGGCCTGAGATGTGGAATTAAATGAGCCTGTAAGATTTTGTTTACCACGTGACATGATTCGTGGCTTGGGCCCTTTAGATTTACTCTGGGAATTGGCTTTAGGAGTCTTGCTAGATGAAGGGCCTTCCTCGTTAACTCCTTACTCTTCGTTATCAATGAGCGCTGGAAATCTGTAATTGGATACTCTTGGGCAGTTTCTTGATTTTTTGGCTTAGAAGGGCGTCTTTGTCTTCTTTGGGCCACCATCCATTCCCGAAACTGATTTGAATCCCCTGATTTGCTGCACTGATAAATACTTTCCATTCTGCCAATGGTTTCCTTTTGAATAATATTTTCTCCTCCGTTCAACATCTCCGCCATGGCTGCCGGAACTGGGGTTGTAACAACATCTAGCATTTTATCTTTCTCAATGATGAACTTTGGGTGGAAGTCTGGAGTCCATTCTCTAACAGTAAGATATGCACCTTGAAAAAGCCATGCCCCATTGCAAAAATAGCCTAAAGCCCAAACTCATAATCCATTAATCATTGTCACGTGCCTGTCACGTGAAGGGATCGTATGCAGTCACTCTATTTGTAATATCCGTTCGTTATTTAATCCAAATCCGTAAGGGATAAATAAACCAAAAAAATAAAAAAGAGAGAGGGAAACTCTAGTCTCCACATGACCACAGGCTGCTCATCACATCTAGAATCAAACCACACTATCCGGTATTTCTCACCTTATGAGAAGCTATAGCTGCCTTTTGTAGTCAACAATGGCGATATCTTCACTCTCATTGAGTTGGGTTTCCACAACCTTATCCCAAAAGGTCGGTGTCAATTTGCTCTTCCCCATACAATTCATCTTCTGATCACATATTTACTCTATCTCTATGTCCTGTCATCGCTAATTCTTGTATATTCAATCTCTTCCTCTTTCCAGTTAAATGTCCCTAGTTCGAATGAAATATTGCCTAGAATCGCAGCATTTTCTGGCAATAACTCTGTCACATGCAGTACGGAGGCAACCTTCGACGAAGAAAGTACGATACCCTTTTAAATATTGTCTTCAAATTCACTGCCTATACTGTGGTAGTGTGTGGACACAGTCTCAACTCTCAGCATGGGAAATCGTGTTTTAAAAGGATACTAACACAATTAATTTTCTTTCATATTCATTTTACATTGATTGGCTTAAACTCTACTCGAATATGGTATATCATCACTTTTGAATTGACTTCACCTCCGAGGATTAGGGTATTTTGCAATGATAATGTGAATTATCTGCAGATCTTAATATGAATTCTGTCATGGGATTTTGGAACAATTTCTAAATAAATCTTGGTCTTATATTACTATCAAAATGTACTCTATATAACCAACTCATGTCCCTTGTGTTGCGCAATGCTATCAATTATGTATTGCAGGCAATTGCAAGAGACGTCTGCTAATGCTAGGAGCTGGAGCACTAACGACAAGTCTACTCCCAGCAAATTCCCTTTTCGCTGAAGGTACGTAGCTAATAGATTGTTAGTTATCTCTATCTATTTGTAGCTAGTATATATACAAATGACTTCTTACTGAACCTTTCGCAATTGTGGTACTGTGTAGAGATACCAAAGAACTATAAATCTTTTGTGGACTTTGAAGATGGGTATTCATATTATTACCCCTCAGATTGGATAGTAAGTTAATTATGATGTCATATTATAACGTGGAAGCTTCAAGTTTAGCTCTCTAGAGTCAAGACTCAACAACTTGTCTTGTCCATTTCTTAGGATTTTGACTTCAGGGGACATGATTCTGCATTTAAGGACAGAACGAAGCAATTGCAGAATGTTAGGGTGAGATTTATACCAACCGAGAAAAAAGACATTCATGAATTGGGTCCAATGGAAGAGGTAGAAAGATTGTTATTTCATTCTCTTTCACGTCATTAAAACCTAAATATAGTACTTGACAAGCTTTTCTGTTTGTCAGGTTATATACTTTTTGGTGAAGCACAGGTATGCAGCACCAAATCAAATGCCAACAATATATAGCATGCAGGAGGTTGTATCACTGCCTATCCTTTCAGTTTATTGATTCCTATTAGCTAAAAGTACTTTCTTCCTTCCAAATCTGGTTATGATTAGACCCTCTTAATGCTTGCTGATTTCCTAGTTCCTGCACAAAGGATTTCAACTTGCTCTTTGCTCAGTAAGTTAATTTTCTGTTAAGTATGACAATCACAGGCATCAAGAAAATATGAACGGCAAACTTCAAAATTTTCTTGAAAATCAGGTTTATGATTGCTGGATCATGCTTTGAGACAATGGATTTTAGTTTCAGAAAAGTTTCACCATTTGGCGAGTGAATACACTCTATTTGGCAATTTGGCATACTGAATTTCTTTGATGGCTTTCTTCTGGATGCAGAAAACTGTAGACGGAAAAAGCTACTACACGTTCGAGTACGAACTTACATCTCCAAACTACTCAAGTGTTTCATTTGCAACCATAGCTATTGCCAACGGTAAGTGTCCTATCACTTGAATTGTCACTAACCGACTATAAGCAGACAGAAGTGAAGGAAAACGTGGAAGAAATAGGAAAAAGATATAGATGAAACTGCTTTTCAGAATCTGGATTGTTCAATGGTTGTATTTCTGTACAGGGAGACATTACACTCTGATTGTGGGCGCAAATGAAAGACGGTGGAGAAGATATCGCAGCCAGCTTAAAGTTGTAGCAGACTCTTTCAAGGTGCTTGACATCTAAAATGGCATACTGGTTAAAGTTGAATGAGAAAAATTTTCACGTGCAACAAATATATACTTGGTTGACAAATCTTATTTATTTGTCTTGGTCTACCCTTGGCTTGGTTTGGCTATAAAACTGAACGATACTGCTCTTGTGCGCCTACACTTCTTGTCAATAAACTAAGTTGCAATTGACATGGATGGACAAAGGTGAAGATACAGGCTATGAACACCAAAAGATTGATAATTTGGTATAAAATTGTGCGTAAAACGAACCTGTCAAATACTGGGTTCGAAGCTGGGTGGCCATTGTCAGAATCAATTCAGTCCAACATCTCAAAGAACATGACATGCCAAGCACATTCATTCTAATGTAAAGAGCCGAATGTAGAGGCAGAAAGTGAAATTCCTACATATCCCTAGTTGAATTACCATTGCGCAAAAACATAAGAATGGCGCCGGAGGAACCAATCAGATAGAAAGTCGTCAGCTGATTCATACCAGTAAAAATTAAACAGGTTATAAATTAACCACGTGGTTATATACATAGATTACAACAAATTCTCTCACCTCTTTTCCTATTCTAAACTTCCTTTCAAGTTCACAAATGTATAATTTACAGTAAACACACCCAAGCTAGTCAGCCGCATAAATTCATCAAGGGGAAAAATACTAACAAAAGAGAACGAAAACCAAGAAGCACCACCCATTAGGACTAGGATTATCTCCTCTGACCGATCTCTGACTAATGAACAAATCAATCATTGGAGACAAGGCAAAGACGTAACACTTCCCTCCAAAAAGAATATGGCATCTTAGCCCCAAGAGCATGTTCTCACCAGCCAACCAAAATCCAAGAACCCTATCTCTAGATCCTACATTTGAACAACATAGCTAGCACTGCCACCACTGCACCCACCCATCTAACCATATAAAAGAATGTTACAAGCCTCATCATTCTCATTAGCTCCTTGAGTACTCTGGAAACTCCAACCAAATGATATTCAAGACACACCGGCAGATATAAATGTGTCCGGCAATTTAAGATGGCCCAGGGTAAGGAACTATACAGATGAACCCAACGCAAATTTAAACCCTGCATATCCAACCTTAAATTAGTCGATGTTGACGCAAACCCTTTCCAAAGTGGGGTTGCACCAATCGGACATACAAACCATTCTTTGCCATCAAAGAATCATGGGTCCCTTCCTCAACTATTCGCCCTCCATTTAGAACAACAATATTATCAACATGCCTCATCATTGCAGCAGCTCTATGAGCTATCAGAATGGTAGTTTTGTTTCCCATAATCAGAGTATCTAGTGCCTCTTGTACCACGCGACTTGACTCAGATTCAATGGATGAGCTGGCTTCATCCAATAACAAGATGGGTGCATTCTTCAGCACCACACGAGCAATTGCAATTCTCTGCTTCTGCCCTGGGGTAAGGTCCACACCCCTCATCCCCACATGTGTGTCATAACCATGAGGCAGGCTACTGATGAAATGGTGAGCATTAGCAATTCTTGCAGCCTCTTTTATCTCAGCTTCGCTGGCATTGTGCCTAGCGTATATAATATTCTCTCTTATAGTTGTTGAGAAGATAATTGGTTCCTGTTGAACAAGACCTAGATGGTTCCTCAACCATCTTAAATTATAAAGTTTCAAATCCCGACCATCCAGTAGGACCTGACCAGCACCTGGATCATAAAATCTCTCAATTAAAGAAATTATGGTGCTTTTTCCAGACCCTGAAACTCCCACCACAGCTACAGTTTGTCCTCCAGTAACTTTGAGACTGAAATTGCTCAATACCAACATTTCTGGGCGAGTTGGATAACAGAAATCAACATTCTTCAACTCAATGCTCCCATAAACATTAGGAGGCTTCAGTGCTGAGTTATCATCCGGGTCAATCTTAGGTTCTCGATCTATAATTTCAAATACCGAAATAAGAGATTTTCGCCGCTTAAGTATGTATGGAGCTAATCCAAAAGGCTCCACCAGTGCAAATGTTGCGAAAGAGAAAACCATATACTCCTTGAGAGCTGTATGAAGATCCACATGTTGATTCTTTACAGAGTATGCAGTGTACCAGAGTAGTAGGGCATTACAGGCAAAAAGAAGAAACTGGGAGAAACCAAATCCAAAACCAATGGCCATTCCATGGACAAAACTCTGCTTAAATATTTTCTTCAGTTGCAATCTATAGAGCTCCATTACTTTGTTGCCAGCACAGAATGCCACAACAGTATAAATGTTTCTAACAGCATCCTCGAGGACCAACGATGCCTTTCTGTGCATCTCTTGGATCCCCCTAGAAAATCCAGCAAGCCACAACTTCTGCAATTTTTAAGTTGGCAGAAATTCAGGGTTTTGGCACAACAAACTATAAAAAAATGTAGTGTTTTATTATTCAACTTTTAAAAGGGGAAAATGATTGATGGAATTAAGGCTCGGTGAATGAATATATCCAGGGGCAATTTGAAAATAAATAGATTTGAAAGATAACATGTCTGTGTGTGCTTGTGGAGCTACTAAGACCATATTCAGTGCCAATAAAACTAGAATAAAGTTAAACAACCGGTCTTAGACCCTTGGTAGAAAATCCAAAGGAAATTAAAACACAAGCAAGAAACTATAAGGCAAAGAATGCAAGAATCTAAAAGTTAGCATTCCCTTTTCATTGGTTGATACACTCACTGCCACATGGCTGATGATTGATGGTTAACAGCTTAATAAACAAAAGAAAAGAATAAAAGAGGAAATTGACTGAAGTATGACATAAAAGAAACTCCTAGAGACGTCAATTGCTGATTAGTACCCCATGATATGTTTGATTCAAACACGTGACTTATGAATCAGATCAAAAAGATACTTGTTCCAAAACAAAATCATCAATATTTACATCACACTTTGACTGATAATAAAATGATGTCAGGTTTAAAAGCATGCAGAAAGTATGCAAACCTGTGCAATTGCAGAGACAGTAAGAACTGGCAGGGTTGCCAATGCTACAAGAGCCAATCGCCACTGAAGCAGCATCCCAATGACAACAGCCACAATAACTGCAGCACTGTCCTGTATAAATATTGAAACTCGATTGCTGAATGCAGCTCGTACAAAGGTAGCATCATTTGCCAAGCGCATGGATAATGTGTCAGCACTATTATCCTCTTCATCAAACCATCCAACTTCATTCCGCAGCATTGCTATGAGATGATGACCATTAATAAGTTATAGTCCATACACAGAACTATGAAATCATGGAAATAACAACTCTGCGTCGGGTGTGACCCCAGACATTAAAGCTATTTACCTGAAAACATCATTCTCCGTACTCGTTCAGTCATTTTCTCTCCCATAATACCAAAATAGAAGTGCTGCAAGAAATTGGCAACAACAGTCACTATACCCATGATGGCAATCATCAAGCACCACCTGTCTACTTCCTGCCGCAAGTGGTGTTCTTGTTGTCTATAATAAGCAGTCACTATCAGTGAAATAACATAAGCAAGAAGTGGATTGAAAGAACCAAAAATGGCAGCACCAATGCTTCCTAACACAGCATAAAGCCACTCTGCAAGACTAAGCTCTGCTAGTCTCCAAAATGATGGTTCCTCTCGATGCTTTGTATCCTTTGCTTCCTTAACTTTATTTGGAACATCATCAGAGTGACTGTGGGGTCGACTAAAAGTTTGTGAGTGGGAACGCTCATTTTTTGGATCAGATGTTAAAAGTGGAGAAACAGGGGATTCAGGATCTGAACCATTTGATGTCTGTCGATGTGCAGACTGAACATCAATCTTGGGTAACTCAGGTAGTCTCATTTCAAAACTATCCTGCCTTTTTATTGATGGTTCCTTATCAGCTCCATCCAAGGGAAGGCCGTTTTCCATCATCTTCTCTGGTGGAGGGCTGACATCTTTTGGTGATTCTTGTGAATTAAACATGCCGTCTGGAGGCCGAAATACACCAGGGACTCTCTGAAGCGATGGTGACTTGAGCATTTTAGGAGAGGATGATTCTTGATAGCTGTGGCCTGCAGAAGAATCCTTTTCAACTTGGAAAGCAGCCACCTCCATGTAGTTTCTAACTGGCATCCTGGATAAAGGTGCATATCTCAGAAACATGAACTGTAGTAGCATAATGGCATGTGATTTTATTATTTAGGAGAAGTATCTTCAAGCATTATAATAATCAAGAGAAGTTACACCATTTATACATGAAAAATTCTCTATACTAGCAAAACATAGTTGTTCTTGTACTATACCTCCTTGGAAGTTTTGCTGCTTCTTCGCATTTGAGAAGCTCTGCATATAGACCATTTAAGGTTAATAATTCGTCATGTGTACCCATTTCAACAAGCTGGCCCTCCTCCATTACAGCTATATAATCAGCATTCCTAATTAGACTAAGACGTCTAGCTATTATAATGGTTGAACGTCCCAGCATGAGAAGATCTAGTGCCTCTTGAACTGCTCTCTCAGCTTCAAAATCAAGTCCACCAGTAACCTCATCAAGCAGAAGAATTGTCGGATTCAAAAGCACTGCTCTGGCAATAGAAAGTTTAATTTTCTGCTCCTCTGTCAATGCTAAACCAGCCCTACCCACCTGACGTGTATAGCTATTAATTTCCGGAAGAATAGCCAAGATAAAAGCAATAAATAAACAGGTCTAAATAGATGTTCTGTCCTTTAAATATTACCTGTGTCTCGTAGCCTTTCTCAAGTGAACTGATAAATGTATGTGCATGTGCTATTTTGGCAGCTTCTTCAATCTGATCCAAGGTAGCATCTCGTCCATATGCAATGTTATCTTTTATACTCAAACTTAGCAAGGCGGGTTCCTGGGTGACTAGTCCTATTTGGCTTCTGAGCCATTCCAGTTTCAGGTTTTTAATATTCTCTCCATCAAGAAGAACTTCTCCTGAATGAATAGACCAAAACTATTGGAATCCACATGTTGACATCGCTAAGGAAATTCAATGAAATAGCATTAGCTCAAAAGGGAATATAA